ACACGAGCCAAAAATTAACAGTAGATGTTCATTAATGTTTGATGGGTGCTTAATTATTTAGGGCAAAAGTATTTTTTGCAGTCTTTCCCTGACAGATAATACAATGGCTCTGTGCACAGGAGGTGAGATGAGGTTTTCCAAATGGAACTTAGAAGGCACTGAGTGCAGTGCCTTGATAAATAGCTGAGTAAACTGGAGTCACTGCCACTAACAGCTGAGTAACAAAGATACACATGCACACACTCTGCACTAGACACTCACAGTGACCTGTCCAGGAAAACACATTATTTAAAATAAAGAGGGTTGGGATTGGAGGCAAGAAAAGACTGATGCTTGGAACGTACAGCTCTCTGTCTTCAATTAGAATTTTCTTTCTGTTCTGTTTTAGGGAACACTTGTGGGATGGACAAAAGGATTCAAGGCAACAGACTGTGAGGGAGAAGATGTTGTTGATATGCTGAGAGAGGCCATCAGGAGAAGAAATGTGAGCTATTCTTTCCTGCTCTTTTTCGTGTATTTAATGCCCCCTCACTCTTCCTCTGGTATTCCACTACTGATTGTGACTTGTGTTTTAGGAGTTTGACTTGGACATTGTAGCAGTGGTGAATGACACCGTTGGGACCATGATGACGTGTGGCTATGAGGATCCAAACTGTGAGATTGGCCTTATTGCAGGTACAGTGATGTTGAAGTGACCACCATGAGAGAAGGGCACATATGCAGGTGCTAGGCTTTGGAGTCTGTAAACCAGCATCTTTTATTTGAGTTTGATACATGGAGTTACTGGTCACTTGGGATTCCTGGCAGATTTGTGTGGTATTCAGTAGGAGACATAACACCTGTAGCAGGTAGGATCCTGAATCTGTTGGACTTTTGATCACATCTCTGATGGTGCCTAACAAGTGTATGCAGAGTAACAGAAGGTGAGAACAGCAGATAGAGCATGAATTCTTGTTTTGACAAATGTATTTACTGATATTTACTGTGTAGCCAGGTCATAGACCTTGGAACAAGCAAATGTTCTTAAAAGTCTGAATGAACTCTTTTGAGGTTTTCTAGAAGATTCTCCCAATAAGTTCCTTCAAGTTTTGATCCAGAAATGTGTCTAAGCATAGAATCATAGAATGGCCTGGGTTCTTGGCAGGGCTTGCCCTTGGGAAGCACACTGATGATGATGAGCAAGATGATTTGTGGTGCATTATGACCAGACTGGCAGCAATGACTGATCAGTGCTTCACTGCCAGAGCCATTTCTGACCTGCAACAAAGGGCTTCTATGCTGTGGATTTTCTGTGCAGGGCCTGTCTTACTTGGTAACATTCTGTTGGTATAAATTAAAGCACTCTTCCCATCACTGGCTAGCCCTTGCTTCTGTAAGATAAAGGAGAAAACTTTGAAATTTGGGGTATGGCGCAGAGAACTTTAACATGACCACTGCAATCATCTTCCATGAGTATCAGGTGCTGCTTCACTTTTCTGGCTGAAGCCTTGTCATTTCTGCCCTTCTAGGAACGGGCAGCAATGTGTGCTACATGGAGGACATGAAAAACATAGAAATAGTGGAAGGGAATGAAGGAAAAATGTGCATTAATACAGAATGGGGAGCGTTTGGTGACAACGGCTGCATTGACAACATCAGGACAAAATATGATAAAGAAGTAGATGAAGGCTCACTAAACCCAGGGAAACAGAGGTAAATGTGATGGTCCTGATGCCAAGAGCCCGATGAAGTCAGTCTTCAAGAGACACTGGCTGGTTTTTAGAACACGCTTAATGAATGAATAATCAAAAAGGAAATGTTAATATTGCATGTCTTGTGCTGTGTGGTAAGTAACCTAAATATCCAGAAAAAACCAAAGAAGTACCTTGTTTCTGTTATCACAGCACTGTTCTTATCTTAGGGCAGTTACCAAACAGTGCAGCTTTTAAGATTTCCCTGCAAAGTCTAGGTCATGCTTTGTTCCTTCCCTTAGGGTGATTTTTCAAAGGTAAAATACAACTCAAGCAAGAGGATAAGCTGAACTTGACTGTTTGTTCAGTAAAGACAGTATTGATCAGGTGTGACTCACTGGGGAATGCGTGGGGAGACAGGGAAGTATTTCACCTCAGCGTGGACTCTGCCTTTAACACTGTGTTCTGTTTATTATTGCAAGGGATTTTTTCTATTTCTGTTACCATTTGGCTTAGGTAAATATATTATAATTAGTGTTTGCACTTGAAGTCACTGCAACAGAGTTTTACTGATTGAAAGATGGATTTCAATGGCTATTGCTCTGCAAACTTGGGCTGCTTTTTTGGGAGTTCATAGGGCATGTACGTACCACTCATGCTGAACAAAGCTAACATGCTGTCTCTTTAAATGCACCTTTTTTATAACTTGACAGGTATGAAAAAATGACCAGTGGAATGTACCTAGGTGAAATAGTAAGGCAAATTTTGATTGACTTAACCAAACAAGGGCTGCTGTTCAGAGGACACATTTCGGAGTCACTCATGAAGAGAGGCATATTTGAAACAAAGTTCCTGTCTCAGATTGAGAGGTGAAGTTGTTATATTTACATGGTTTAAATCCTTAGGGCCTTTTGGGACCCCTAGAAAACAAGTGTGTGGAGCCCTTTCCTTCAAGAAGTTAATTACCATTTTCTTCTTTGCATACCTCCCTCCTTCCCATCCCCACAATAAAAGCCAAAAATGAAGAACTGAGGGAGTTCCAGAATTTTTCTGTGATTACATGAATTATCATTTCCCTTTCACACAACTGGGTTACCTTGGGTGCCTTAACCACCACGCGTGATTATATACTTGGAGTGTTTCTTGTGGGACTTAAAACATTAGTTATCAAAGAAAGTAAAAAGTCAGTGATAGATGAATACATGCTTGCCTACATATCTGTGCATGTTTGCAGTGGTCTTCAGGCCATTTGAAACCCTTTCTGCTGTGGAAAGCCTTGAAAGTAGTGTCTCAGCCTTGAGATCAAAAATAACGGGTGGGTGGCTGATCTGGCTCAGCTCCCTCATGGCTTTGGGAGTTAGATGAATTACTGTGTGTGCCTCCTGGAAATACAGTCTGACATGGCAAAGGGCATGGCAGGAGCAGTTTTCAGTCTGAATTGAGGCTTTCCCTAATGGCTTGCTGCTCCGTGTGCTTCCCTCTGCGCAGTGACCGGCTCGCCCTCCTCCAGGTGCGGCGAATCCTGCAGCAGCTGGGCCTGGACAGCACGTGTGAGGACAGCATCATCGTGAAGGAGGTGTGTGGAGTTGTGTCACAGAGAGCTGCCCAGCTCTGTGGGGCAGGGCTGGCTGCCATTGTGGAGAAGAAGAGGGAGAACCGAGGTGTGGAGCGCTTGCAAATCACCGTTGGAGTAGACGGGACTTTGTACAAGCTCCATCCACAGTGAGTGCCTGGTACCACTGCCCTTTGCTGTTTGCTCATTTTCATGTGGAAACATCCCCAACTGTACCAGCTTTCTACTGAGATGATTAAAAAGTGTGAGAGGGGATCATCCTACACGTTTCCCTGCATCTTGACCTTTCCCTTGCCTTAGTTAAAGGATCAAAAATTGCAAAGTCAAGTCCAGTTACCACTGGGAGGCTCTTTTCTCCAGGGTGTTGAGTGAACTTACTCTTCTGATATTTATTTACCAGTGTTTGAGTGGATTTGAGAACAGAAAGCAGCTGTTAAAATACTCTGTTCTTCTCTCCCTTTCCTTTCAGTTTTTCCAGAGTCCTGCAGGAAACAGTGAAGGAACTGGCACCTCAGTGTGATGTGACCTTCATGCTCTCTGAAGATGGCAGTGGGAAGGGAGCTGCCCTCATCACTGCAGTGGCAAAACGGTTGCATAATGTTGGGCAGAAGTAGAAATGAGTGGTCAAGTCATTCCAGCGCTGTCAGGCGTGTGCATAGGGATCTACTGAGTGGTGATTCCAGATAGCTGTGCCAGGCACCCGTTTCAGGCACCCGTTTTCAGGGAGCAGCTGCTTTTGACCGACCAGGACTGTGGATTTTTGTCCTTTGCTAGCTTGGATCAGGTGTTTCTACTCCCCACTGGCATTATTCTTGGCACACCACAGTCTCCTGGGTTCTGTAATTCCTGCAGTGCATCTGTAATGCACATGGGAGAAAACAAACAAACAAATGCAATCCACCCCAAATGTGTCTTTTTACAATGTCTTAATTAAGCTACTGCACCACAACTGGGTTTATCACCAGTTTCTTAGGATTTGTGTGCTTTAGTTTTGGCTTGGCCTGGCTCACGGAATGTTGAGATCCTGATGCTGCATCTGTCTAGTGGACATATTTGTTCAATGCTTCACAGGTTTTAAATAAAATTGAAGGTAAAATAAATCAATGGGCTTTGGTCAGTGATGCTCCCCCTGCCACTACTCTGGTTGCAAGTGTGTTGTAATGTAATACTTCCTGAGTACAGAGGCATGTTTAATAGATTAACGTAAAGATAAAAATATGATTCCACAGAATATCAGTTTGTGTCAAAATATGTTAGTGCATTTTGAGTGCACATAAAGCTAAACTAGCGCTGGGTGGATTTTGACTGTGACTGACTCTTTTGATACTGGAGGAAAGAGAGAATGTAGAAACAAGCAGCTACAGAGTCTGCTATGTCTACGTCAAGGTACGTACAGAGTATCAAACAGGCCACCAAAACAGCTGTGTAGAGAGAAACAAAAATCACCTGAATTTCTGAAATTCTTCTCTTTATTCTCCCTCTGTTATCTCCTTGCCTGTTCCTGAGAGAATTGTTTCCATTGTATGGAAAGGAGTTTATCCCTGGTTTTCATTTTCTGTTGCCTCCTGCTCAGCCTGTGTGTAGCCTGTTTGTAAGTAAATCTGGGGTGCCGTGAGCCTCTCTGTCTAATGCCTCTTCTGAGTTGTGGGAAGAACATGCAGGCAAGTGGGAGCTTTCTTAGAATATAAATCTTTAAACCTAAACCTTTCTTTAAACCTAAATGTCTAACAGCGCTCAGCAGCACTACAGTTATTCTGAAGGTGGTTTGTGGATAGAGCCCATGGCCTTGTGTGACCAAATGTCCTTCACCTGATTTACCCAGAACAAGCCAAAGCAATCATATGACACAGAGAGGCAGCAAATCTGCATCCTGCCTAGCTCCTGTTCTCAAGTATTCCTCTATCTCCCTTAATCCTCTCTTCTTGGATATTTGCTTCCTTCCAGGCTGGCAGCAGAAAGTGGGGCCAAGAAATGTGCTTTAAGCCTAGTTAGGTCAAAAGTAACCATCGTGCAGGGGGGGATCAGCAGTTGGGTTTATGTAATAATCTGTAACCAGGCTGCTGCTGGGTTTAAATTTAGCAGTCACAGATTCAAAATTGGAAGCTACAGACCCTTCCTGTTTTGTAGTTTTTCAAAAAAACCCCAACATCTCAGCAGCTGTGTCTGTGTTGAAGTTACTGGATGGGTGAAAAATGATACTTGGAAATAGTTTTCACTTCTGAAGGTGTGGTGCTGAGCTCACTGTACTAAGCAGTTGGGAAGAGGCAAGTTGTGAACTCATTACATTTAATGTTTTTCTCCTTTTGTCAAGAAACTTAGTGTTTTACTTTTTCTTTATATTTCAGAATCCACAGAGCCCCAGGAACCAAAGCTTCCTGTGTAGTAAGGGCAGTTATTTGGAATGGAAGTTTGTTCCTGGTGATGAACAGGTTAAATTTGGAGGGGCTGGGTATAGAAGCAAAAAAAAATCAGCTATGGAGGCAATGTGAGGCCTAGAACAGCTCTTCTGCATTGACTGTTTCTCCCTTCAGCACCTGAAATCTTGTACTATCTGGGTGGGTTTGGACCCTTTTGGGGGAGTGAATTGTTCTAATCTGCAAAAGTGCATCTGTGGACATTGATCCCTGTATATCTGGAAGGAGGGGTTGCAGACTTGCCCCAGAATGGCCACGTGAGTATGGTGCAAGAGTTCCTTTTGTACTTTTATTCCAAAGCCTGTTCTACACAACTGGAATGCAAACCAGTAACAAAAGAAGGCAAACCCTTCACATTTAGAAAGGAGTCCTGTATTGCTTTGATTTTTCTTTTTAATCTCTTTGGGAAAGGAAATATTCTCACGGGGCAGTTTACACCTCAGCTGCAGCTGTTCCTTTCCTGCAGTAGATTCAGCCCACACAATAATAATTTTTTGCATGTGCAGTGTTTTGGGGTTTTTTTTCAGTGAGTCTGTGGGTGTTGTGGAATCTGATCCCATGAACCTGGAAGTGCTCACAGTGCTCAGTGCCCGACAGCTGTCCTGAGGTCCCCGAGGCCCAGGACACGCGTGCTCCTGCTTTTCCTGCAGGCAGCTGACTTGCTCTGGAGTCAGGCAGCTCCCACACGTCTGCTGGGCAGGGACACAGCACCTGAGCTGGGGAGGCTTTTGGAAAGGGAAACGACCAAAGGTTCGCTGGGCAACCCTGGAGAAGGGCGGGATTGGCTCCTGCGGGATTTTACCAGGGATACACACTTCACTTGCAGTTTCCCAGGGATCCCATGGACACACCGATGCTTTGGCTGTCCCTAGACCAGAACATTCTCCGACTGGATAACGATGCAGCATCATGTTCCTGATTCTGTCGACATGTGGAAACTCAGACTGTTGCAAACTTGCCACCTCCCTTGTGTAGATGTTAAACTGCTGAAGCAAAACCCTTCTCTGCACATCATATGTGGTGATTCAGTTTAAAGCTCTTGCTTAAAATAAAAGTAGAGGCCTTCTATTAAATCAGCCTATCACACACTGAAAAATGTGGTGCAATTTATCACATGACATTGTTAGTCAATTTAAAATAAATTGAGATTCTTTTTTTTCTACTTTTCTACTGCTTTTTGGATAGCTCTGTGATGCTTCATTTCTGCCTGTTTTCCCTCCAGTCAATACATTTAATGCTCAAATTTATTGATTTTGTTTTGATGCTTCTTTAAGACATGAACATCTTTTTTTCAGATATAGATCATGCTTTTGATTTGGAAAGTTGAAAGATCTTTGAATCACAGGTGTGACAGAAGTATTACTGGGTGGAGGAACTGAGGTTTGTGCTTTTCAGAAGCTCCTAGCAGATGGTTGCAGTTACCCTTTCATCTGTGGGGAACAGAGGGTCATAAACATGTTGGTTTGCCTGCTAGAGACACATTTGGGTGGCTTTAGATTTGGACAGTGCTGGTGCTTGACTTGTAATCCAGAGAAAATGCAGTAGCAGCTTGGTAGTGACATGTTCCTGTTTTCACTCTGACAAAGTTCAAAAGTAAGTGTGGGATCATGTGTAAATCCTTCAGAAATCCTGATTAGCGTGATCTCCTTTCTTGGGCAGTCAATATTATATAGGATTAGCAGATTAGTGTAAAGGAGTTTGAGCCTGAAATGTAGGTAATACCAAAATGAAAGCATTGCTTCTTTGATCTTTCTTGATTTGTTTCTTTGCATTTGGTGAAATGAGCTGGCTTTGGTTTGGGGGTCCCAGATGCAAGGTCACCATAGGAACAGGTGGAGAGGGAGTGAGGCAGGGACAGGAGGAGACTTTGTAAATGTTGTCCTGCTCCAGGTAAGCTTCCAGTTTCTTTAGAAAGGAATTCCACTGCCTTGAACTGTCACTGGGGGCTTATCCAGAGCATTTCTCAGGCTTGTCAAGTCTCTAGCTTGTCAAGTGATATTGATATATATATATCTATATATCTATCTATATCTCAATATATATATATCTCATACATATATATATATATCATCCTTGCAGGAGGGGGTGAGACTCTGGGGCTGAGTTTAGCACAGGCGTTCCCCTCAGTGCAAGGGATATATATATATATATATATATATGTAAAAAATAATCATAATAAAAAAACCTATTCCTGTACATGAGTATGGGTGGCCTGTTGGGGTGGGAGTGGGAAGGGAAATAAGGTAGATATCTGCTTTGTCCAAGCACTGCATCCACTCTGTAAAGCTGATGTGTAAAGCAAGATAGAAAACCACCAGAAGTTTAATTAATGTTTTCCTTTCTCTCATTGATACTATCACCTTGCAGGTGCACACTGAAGGTTCTGTAAACGTGATGGGTCATGTCTGTCTGAGAGGGGAATGCCGAAATAATTTGGATCTTGTTGTGTGCTTTTTTTAATGCCCTTCCCTCCCCAGCCTTACCCTTCATCTGCACTCTGTGTCCCAGGGCCTCGTGCAGCCCCGGCACCCCCAGAGTTAGTAAAAACTGTGTTCTGTGGAGAGAGAACAGATAGAAAACCAGGAAACACGGGTTCCTCCAGAAAACTCTCCCCACTGGCACAAGGAATTGGCTACAGGAAAATGGACAAAGGGCTCCATGTGGGAGGATTCCTGTGCACAAGTTGAAGAACAAAATGCTGGGGAATCTCAGCAAGCAGGAGCTTGCTGGAAGGAGTGGAAGAAGGTCCTTGCACCCTTGATCTTTCCTGACTGGTTATAAAAAAAAAAAAAAAACCAAACAACCAAACTCAAAACAACCCAACCCCCCCAAGAATCCCAAATTCTTATTTTTATCTAGAAAAGCCTGAGTTAAAACCAGGTGAAAACCAAAGTGATAAAAAAAAAGAGGTAAGAGGAGACTGAGTCTGTTTCACTACCACTATATTTTATTTTCTTTCTTTTGTTGGGAGGGATAAAGGCTGTTTGGAGAAGAGGGGAGAGATGTGTGAAGAGTCAACAGTGAAAGCTTCTCCATAAATTCATTACTGCATATCAGAACAACTATAAGGTAAGTCTTAACAGTGGAGAAAAGGGTTGACAGCAATGCCAGGTGTGATACCTTAGGAGCCATTAATTACAAGGACTCTTCAAGGATGTTCACTGAGTTAACTGCTGCATTTTTGTTATTGTTCTTTGGGCCGGACAGAACGGGAGGGAGGCAATGGGGTTGCAACCTTATTGGTATCCATTTTCTTTGGACTTGGAGGTGAGAGGTAGCTCCCAGCCCCAGGCATTGCAGAAATGCTGGGGTTCTGTTCTCAAACCCACCGGTGTTATCGATTCAATTTGCTTTGCTGAGGTCTGTTTTTGTTGCTCTCAGTTTGCTGCTTGGATGTCCAGCTTGCCAAAGGTTTCTGCCCCTGGGAAGCCCCTGTTCCTGTAGGGCTGCCTTGGCCATCTGTGTAGCTGTGGGACTGGGACTGCTGCCTGCCAGGCTACTGCAGAGGACTGTCCTCATCCTTGTCCTCATCCTTGCAGGCTGTGTCCGCTCCCGGGAGCTAAAAAAAGGCTGTTCTGTGTTGCCACAGGGAGTCAGAGCAGGGAAAGGTGGAGGGGGTGAGAGTCTGGGGCTGAGTTTAGCACAGGCATTCCCCTCAGTGCAAGGGAAGGCACCTTCTGGGATGAGCTGAGGTCCTGGGGCAGCAGCCGTCCCTGGATTCACAAATAAAGCATGATTGGGATGCCGAGGGCAGGAATTGGGATGTAAGTGGTTAATGGAGCTGACTGGCTGGTGATGGACAACTTGGTCGTGGAGGGGAGCTCTCTGCAGGAGGAGAAAATGGATGGCGGAAAGGCATGGAGGGAAGGTCTGTGAGGGTCCGAGCAGGTAAACGGGGAAGGTGCTTTCCCAGCAGGCACGTCCTGAACACTTCAAAGCGGAAAGTTACGGACGCTGATTTGGGAGCAACAGCTGATTCTGGAAACAAATGTGATAAATACTGGCATGAGAAAAAAAAAAACAAACCAACAAAACAAAAAACAAATTGAAATGCCCGAAGGGCACATCTGCTGCGGCCAGCGATTCTGCAGGAAATGCACTGAAACCAGGGAGAGGCGAGGAAAGTGGACATAAACACGACTCCCAGTGAAGCCAAATGAAAGCCATGGGCCTGGCAAGTGCCTGTTGTAGCGTGCTGAGAGTTTGGCTCTCTTTCCTTGGCTCTCCAGTGAAATAGCTGTGCTTGACGTGGGCCCCAGGCCGGCTGTGCTGAATGAATTGTGAAGGGGTTTTGCGTTCTGAACTCGGAAACTCTGCTCCAGAGCCTTTTCTGTTGCTTTCAAGTGTGTGTTTTCAGAGCAATATCCAAAGGGTTTTCAGAGCTGTAGGTCTAAAGCCCAGTCTGTTAGTCTGAAATTTGAATAATTGCATGGTCATTAAATTTTGCACAAAAAGGAATTGACTCTAAAAGCAGCTGATATGTTATCACGATTAGAGCAATAGCAATGACTTCTTTCATCACAATGAAGTTACATTGTTAGAGAGCATAATTGACATTTTTTTATTGAAAGATTAAGAAGAATTTGTTTACAGCTCGGAAACAAAGAGGTTTTAATTCAACAAACTGCAGCAGGAATAAGCAGTAAGTGGCATTTTCATCTGCTGGCCGGCGAGAGCTTTAGCTGCAGAATGCTGTGGATAGAGAAATATGAAGGAATTTGCAGCTCAATATCTGCCCAGTAAAGCGTGTACCACGCTGGCAAATGCCAGAAAGCTGACGGGGAGAAACCTTGAGTGCAAAGAAACAAAGGGCTATAGTTAATATTAGCACCTTTTGGGAAGACACCACGGTTTTTGGAGACCAGCTTCATGCCACCCGTTGTGCAGAGGTCAAGGTGTGGCATTTCTGAGGATGCTTTTGCACATGGAGCCCTCGGGATAACACCTGTCTACTCAACTGGGTGCTAAAGTAGGTATCTGGGTTATTTTTGTTTCTCTGGGTTTATTGCTTCATGGTCTAATAGGCTCAGGAGCTAAGTGGTACTGGCATTTCAAAGTGGCATGTTGTGATTGGAAGGGGGTGCTGTGGAAGTGTTTGGAAAGCAGATCCAAATGAAGCACCATTGTCACCCGACTGCAAAGAGGCTCTTTTGCTCTTCAAATATATTTGGGATCCTGTTTGTGCTGGTGGTTGTGTCTTATTGTCCAGACTGCTCTCCAGATAAAGCCAAGGGTATGTGAAAAATTCAGTTTTATTTTTAAGCAAATTCCTCTTTTGAAGTTGGAAATCGTTTGGATTTGTTGTCCCAGCTCTGGTCAAAGTTTAAGGAGCCCGAGTCAAACCCTGCTGTTCTGAATAT